TACAGTTCGATTCATTGCTTTCCTCGAAATTCCAATAGGTGTGAAATTATGTCTCAAAGCCATAATACAATTATTCATAGTCTTTAGTGCTACTGTACAAAGTATGGAAGCTGATGGATGTTTAATATTATCTGAATGAATTTCCTAGGTCTATAAGATTATAATAAATTTAATTTCATTGAAAGTATAATAAAACGGAACTTAGAAAACAAGAGCCTTATTCATTACTATATATTAAACAATACATAATATTGATCGAAAATATTACTGTCTTATCTATTCATGTACTGTCTAATTGAAATATGAAAATACTGTAAATTATAAAGTGAAAAATTATTTCTAATGAGAAAGGCTCGTGGTTAATAAGTAATTCAGTTAATGTTCACAAACCATTCAACCCCATCTAAGTTACTATCAAATAGTAGATTTTCATATTACACTTGATCTTATGGAGTAGTGATAAACTTTGACTTTACATCACAGTATTTTTCCGTCATATAAATAAAGAATATCTCTTCTTTTTTTCTTTTGAATAGCTCCAGCCTGTTATTGTTCTCTTAATGTTGAACAGTTAAAAAGTGCTCTATCATCAAGAAGCCCAGAATTATTACCCACTGAACAGGATGATCTTACGTTGAAAGTCATGGCATATCGTAGACGAAGTGGAACATTACCACTATGTTCTATCCCAGTAAATAATGATAACATTGAAGATGAAGATAGTATACTACCTACACATTTCTCAACTAAATTAAATTCTGCAAAATCATCTAATGATCTATTAAAAACAGTTGATGCAAAATGTTGTCTTAAATATAATGTCGAACAACAACAACAACAACCTAAGAATCGTTTATCTGTTTCATGGTTAGATACACATTCAACCTGTAATACTGGACAAAATCACATTTCTAAAACTGTCACTTCTGCATATGCTCCTGCGTCAAGTCCAGAATGTTGTACTACTACTGTCAATATGAATAATAATACAAATGAAAAATCTAAATTTTTAAGTTCATCTTTAGAAAATAATAATACTACTATTACTAATACTACTACTAATAATAATAATGATAATTCTAAAGAAGAATCTCATAATGATATATCTCAATCTACTGAAGGTACAATGATATTATTTAGTCCAGTAGATCCACTTGGTTATGCTCAATTAATTCATACTCAATCAGATGAACAATTTATATCACCACAAAATATTTATACAAAATTTCCAACAAGTTTTGTATAATTAAAAATATGTAAAATAAAATTTTTTTTCCCAGAGAAAAAAAAAGATAAAAATCATAACAGTTTAACTTATAGAAAGAAAATGTTATTTTAAAATTTGGCATTTTGTTTCCATTTTATGATGAATATATATAAATGGATTACAATACAATACAAACAGAGAATATACATTATCTCTCACCAAATAGGCCTTCATTACTTGGTTATTCTTTAATTTTGTTCGTTCGTTTGTTTGTTTCAAATTGGTCTCATCTGTGACACTTCATATTGGTATCCTTCACTTTTACTTCTATTTGTTCTTTCTTTCTCTTTTTTTGTTGCTTCTTCCCTGATGATGATGATGATGATGATGATGGTGAGATCCATTATCGTGATAAATAATTATAAAATCAATTCATATATGCACATTTTTATGGATCTGTATTTATTTATATAAATAATTTTATGTTCTTATTTCTATAATTTCAAGAGGTTTTTTTTCTTTTTTCTTTTGGTTTTCTCCTGAAGTAATTGAGTCTATAAGTATTTTTTAATAGAATGGTACATAAATATGTGGAATGTAGGTAATCATGTATACATATATGATATAATGACTGTGTCGAAGTGATTTGTACAGAATATTCCAATGTCGACTACGATTGATCAAAGTTCAGTCAAAATATTAGAAATGGAATAAATAAAATTATTGTAACTTATAATTAATATTGTGATTTATTACAAGATTAACATAACAGAATATGAAACTAGTTTAAGAAAATAGATGACGATTCCTAATGAGTATTGTATAACAAAAATAACGAGAAATTAAGTAATGAGGTAACTGCATAGAAACAATTATTTGATATAATCATAATGATGATTTGTGAAGGAAGTTTAAGAAGTACTTCAAGGAATAATGAGAGACAGAAAAAACTCAAAGACCGTTTCTTTGTACAATTTTTATTATTATTCTTGATTCTCGAAATTAATGGACTCAATATCCTTATTTTTATGGTGAGAATGTAACGTTACGATTAGTAAATTCAAATTGATAAACATATTTAGCTCTAGACTTCAACCACATTTCAGTTTGATGGAATGGTGGCATTTGATTGCATTAGGCCAAAAGGTAGATCTTATTAGAACTCATTATAAAGTCCTCATATTTTCTTTTATTATGAACTGTAGGAAAAATGAACATGCAATGCAGACAGTCACCAATTTGTTGGGACTAAAATCTTCAATTGATCAATTTCTATTGCGTTGTGCGTTTTATAAGTGAACATCTAGGTACCGTTTTTTGATTGCAAGTTTTCAATAAGTGTGCGGTGTAGATAACAGTGAAATACAGAGTGTTAGGTTCATTAAGCTTGAATGCTACTACTGATTCGGCTTATTCGGAACGGAACGAAGGATCAACGATTCAGATACTCGATAGTCTATTCTGGTTCGTTGTCCCCGACTCAGCTAACTCGATCAAGAAGTCTTGGTAAGACGTATTCTACAGGCAACCAACAGATACCAGGTCAGTCAGGCACACAAATCGAGCGTATTTATACAAATATTTATAATCGATATGGTGATGGAAATTTTTTAGCATTAATCAGTAAGTTCGTCAGTCGACTGCCATTCAAATATTTAAACATTTAATCGATAAGTTCGTCAATTGACTGTTATTTAAACATTTAATCGATAAGTTCATCAACTGACTGCCATTCAACTATTTAGACATTTAATCGATAAGTTCATCAATTGACTGCCATTCAAATATTTCAACATTTATTCGATAAGTTAATCGATAAGATAAAATTACAAAATATGAGTTTTGGGGATCTATCGTCTCCAACACCCCTCCCCTTTTTAACAGCGTGCTTTCCTGGGGTCAACCTGCATCTTGACTATTGCTCCCCGCTGTCGGAGAGGCCACCGTCCTGAATAGGAAGAAACATTGTCCCTGGATTTCATTCCAGGTAACAATCCAAATATACTGAGACCTTGTAATTAAAAGATAGTAATATGGCATCCACTCAGGAAGCACATATATCAACAGAGACCAAACAATTAAGGTCCCAAATATCATTAACTAGAAAATAAAAACTTAGATATGAGAGATCGATTTTGTGATAATTACCTTAGAAACCAACGGTAAGCAAGTAAGGGAAGGGTGAACATTTAAAGTTTGTCAGTTTCACTTTGTCTATCAACTAAGGGCATGCTACTTAATTATAATTGAACTACAGACTGAATAGCATAGTTCCTAATTTTACTCAATATTATGTAACGCATTATCTTACAAATACGGATCAGGGTATATACATTCATTATACTCCCATTATATAAAAATGTTTCCATTTTACAATCCTGTCACTTTTTTGAGTTTATTGATATACACGAAAAAGAACAAATCTGATAAATCACCTTTTGTCGTTTCGGAGAAATGGACTATAACAGTAAAACTAAGTGTGATTGGAAGGTTTCAAGTTTTTATCGTAATTAGGTAAATCTAAGCACTCGGTATATGATTCCAAGTTGTTGTTTTTTTAAAAATTTCCTAATGATTTTGTGAACTCATTTGCTACGTTTACAAATCTTATCAAAAATTCTTATCAAATTTATTTTTAAATAATGATAAAGAGCAACAACAAAAATAATTCTGAGTTCCTTAGATCTTCAAAACAGACTTGGTTCAAGAACTATTGGAATTAGATCATTCACTATTACCTACTACCTAAATTTTTAAAAAGTTCAACATCAGTTCACTTTCCAACATATTACCAATTAACTTGACCTTTGTACTACCTTATATATGTAATGACAAATCTAGGCTTAAGTTTAACACGAAATGTAAAGAAATTTTTAAATCATGTAACTATAGAATTACCGTGGATCATGATACTCATTACAGATATTATTCTATAGATGCATTGAAATTAGTCACGTATGGATATTAACCACACAAAAAAAATCTATTACAGTTTAATTATTAAAGTTCAGTTTATCAAGCCATATTGATAAAGTTTTTATTTTCTTAAATAACAGTAGTCTTATTATTCATTCTAGCAGCTAACGCATATTTATCAGTTAAGTATCTCTTCTTGCTCCGTATTAATTTACTTCCATATTTCTCTCAAGGAAAAAAATATGAAATAAGTTTCATTATCAGTTGACTTGTTAACAACCATTTTAAACATTAACAAAAATATGTCAACCTGTGTTATAGTTGAACGTTTGAAGTATTAGGTCTTATTCAATAGATTTAGTGTTATACTGATAAAAGAAATATAGTTCCTATACTTGATGATCTTAGCCTCCTATAGACTGGAATTTTTAAAACTTAAGTTATTACTGTAAATCGGTTCAAGTTATTTGGTCATATCTAAATGATGTCTCATGTTTAAGCAACTGGTGTTTCAGTATAAGTTCATACCTAACAAATTTATCTATAGTTGTTACTAACTGAGGTACAGAATGTTATCTACTATGATCTACCACAGTCATCCTATAAGTAAATTTCATTGTGTGTTTTTATTTTTAAGTTCAATCACCAAACAGAAAATAACAAAACAGATTATCTTCTCGTTTTACAAGTTTATTCATTAAAAGGACAAAACTAGATATTCAAGAATGTATTTGCAGTTATCTATATGTTTCTTAATATTCTGTATTTCCATCTATACTACTAATCACATTATACAATTATGAAAGTGAATTAATATAGAGATGAGTAAAAGTATAAGCTGAAATACAAATATATCTAATAAATAAATAAAAATCACTCAGATTCTTGTAATTTCCACTGCTTCCGATATTGGAAATACTGAATCGTTGATATTGTTTACATTTTCCATATTTGGTTGCAATTTTTCTACTATCATATCAGGTAAATTCTCACCACTTGTATCTGGTATAACATATAATAAAATTAATTGCATAAAAATTACAACTGAATAAATTATTAATGGTACACCATGTCCAATCGATATATCTAATTGATTAATAAACGTACAAATTATACTACCAGTTCGACCTAATCCAGCCACAGTTCCAAATCCTTGAGATCGTATAACAGATGGATATAATTCAGGTATATATATATAAAGCATAAATAAACCAGCAGCAAGAAATATAAGTGATAAATTTGATCCGATAGCTAGGATTAAATCACCTTCTGGATTAAATATATAAGTGTATAAACCACATGATAATAAAATGATAGACGCTACAATATAAACAAAAAATAATGGAGGTTTACGATGACGTATAACACGATATAATATTGTTGATAGAAACAAAGCCGGTATACTAGTGCATGCATTGATAAAGCTAACTAAATAAACACTTCCACGTACAGCACGAGCATAAAGTAGTAAACCAAAGAATGTCATTACTTCACCACTGAATAAAATTACTCCAAGAATAGTAGTTTTAGCTAATTGTCTAGTAGAAAATGGTAGAAAAAGTGACTTTAAAAATTTCATAAAAAATCTTTCATTGTTATTCGGATAAATTTGATTATTTTGATTTGTTTTTTGAATATTGGTTATAACTGAATGGCTTTGTGGAGTACATTCATATTCTTGTTTATTTTTTTGTAGTTCTTCTTCTTGTTGAATCATTCCATCAAGTATATATTTGGATTTCATGCTTTTTCTCATATGAAAATGATTAGCTCTATAGGCAAACTTTAATGATTTTAGTGCATCAATACGTCGACCTTTAGATAATAACCATCTTGGTGATTCAACTAAACACCAAAAATATAAAATACACAATAAATTAGGTGCCATTACAGACAAATTTAACCATCTCCAATTCGGTATGAAATATGCTTCTAATGATATTAATGCTCTCAATAGAAAATTGTATCCCAATGCCATTACAGCACCAATATATGAACGATATTTAGCTATAGTCATCTCCATTACTAACACATTTAATACTGTAACTTTACCTATATTTGCTATACCAACAATTGCTCTAGACAATATATAAACAATGTAATTAGGTGACAATGATGTACAAATACTAAATATAAACTCAATTATTGCTAAAATTATTGATGAATTTTTTCGTCCAAATTGATCACCAGCCCAACCACCAAATATAAATCCAATCATCATTCCAACAAAATAAATTGATGAACCTAATGGTACAAGCCAATTATGTTGACAAACTGTATCAAATTCAATTACAACACTTCCAGGATATTGTAATTCATTTAATTCATATACATATCCATTTTCACATGGAATTATTTGATAATGAATAAATTTTGATTGAAATGATCCTTTATCATAAGTATGAATTACTTCTTCAAATAAATTTTCTGTCCAATTCAATTTATATTGATAACATCCATTCATTTGTGTATAATTTGTATCAGTTTTATTTTTCCATGGACCAATTATAATACCAACTTGTTCTAATGATAAATTCTTTAAATGTATTATATTTTCTATATTATTAGATAGACGACAACGTTGTTGTGGTATTGAATTAGCAAATACAGGAAATGTTGGAGTAGATGGATTACTAAACATGACTAATATTGCTGTAAACCATTGCCAAATACTACATGCACCTACAATATTTACATATAATTGATCAACATTAATTAATTGACTATTAGATTGTTGATATTGAATTGTTTGTTCAATATAATCATCATTATAATGTAATTGAAGTATATTTGAATTCTTTTCTTTAGAAGTCATTCTTCAATTGTTTCTATTTTTGTGTTTTAAACGTTTTATATTTCTAATTGAATATTCAATAATTTAATTATGATTATTTCATTAATATTGAGTTGATATGTGTATTATTTGAGAATTCAATTCAATTCAAATGTATATAATCAACTATTTAGCACAATGTGATAAATAGACATGACATAAATAATTATGCAATTTATTAAATGAATCTCATTAAAAATTGTTATACAATAATATAATCTTAGTTATTCACTTTCTTAGACAAAATCACATATATATATATATATATATATACACTTTATTGAGCCGAATTACGTAACAGCAATATAAACGTCATTTAGATTATAAAGAGAAACACTTTTTGTCTAGCAAACACTAATTCCAACAACAGCAACAAAAAAACATGATAGTTCTAAATAAATTTAATTGAAATTCATTGTAAACATCAAAAAACAAAAAAAAGAGGTTTTTTTTTGGAAAAAATGTTTTTTTTAGGAATATTAATGAGTTAAACATTTAAATTTTTTTTATTGAGATCATGAACCGATTGATGTTAGACATTCGTTGATAGTCCTCTCAATTTCATAACCAACACCCTCACCACGAGAAGGTAGTGAGTAGGACTTCCCTGTTAGGGACCCAGTAGGTTAGGCGTTCGCTCGCGAGACTGAAGGCCTCAGGTTAGAATCCCGCGAGCGGGGTCGTGGATGCGCACTGCTGAGGAGTCCCACAATAGGACGAAACGGCCGTCCAGTACTTCCGGGTTTTCAATGGTGGTCTAACATCAATCGGTTCATGATCTCAATCAAAAAAAACTTAACAATCTCCACAACCCCTGAAATGACTTTAACTTTTTTTGTTTGGATAAGATTTTTCATAAATCAATTATATCATGGTGACATTCATGATAAAATAAGTATGGAAAAAGAAAATGAATAAAATGTTCAATGATCAAGAGCAATACATTGAATGATTTTCGGATTTGAAAATTATTCAATAAGATATATAGATAATCTCCTTAATAATAAGTTTCTATATATTTATTCAATTTATCAAACAATGGTCAAATCGATTGAAATGATTTATTTATTTATTTGAACACATTAATATTCATACAAAAGAACACTGAATACATATACACCACACAAGTCACTTGATTTCTGTGCGGACTGTGATACTGCCTGTGTGTTGAAACCGTAGCAGGTGGTTTTTTAGGGGACCGTACCCAGAACCTTCAACCTAAAGGTCTGATCCAGAAGGTAGTGGAGCAACGTCAGGAGATACAGTCCAATGGTAGCCGGTGACCAATGAGCTGGTTCATATGCCATTTGTTCCTTCAGGATACTGGAGCCTATGTGCACCATTGGTTTGGAATCAAAGTTTCTCAACTCATCTAGGTGAATCTTTCATAACCACTAACATGGTTAGAGCGCCGGACATTTGCTGATAGTCCAATCAATCTCGTAAACAACACCCCCACCACGAGAAGGTAGCGAATAGAACTTCCCTGGTAGTGGTTGTATGCATGCGTCCATGTGAGAGCACTTGAAGAGGAAGAGTTGGTTCTCCCCATCTTCGACCTTGCCAGGGCATTTGGAGGCAACTGAAATGAAGAATTTATTTGAAAAAATAATTCTAAATTATTTTCAAAGTGATCATATATAAATAACATCACAGTTCTGCAATATTGAACATTTAAAGTATTTTAAAATATGTAAAAGTTAATATTAAAAAGTAAGAGCGAAAATCAATAAATAAGAAATTAGAAATAAAAAGTCATTCAAACAAATTATAAGCTTAATGAAAAATAATATTAACAAAAGCGAATGAGGAACTTCATTTTCCGGATGTCCGGTTTGAAAAGATCTTAAATGATTCTTTACAAAAATCCATATATATATTACGAATCTCCATGGTTGGCTTCCATTGAGTAAAAAGAGAAACTTAATTCGCTCTTCATCCTTGAGGACTAAACGAATATGTTCTAATGACACAACAGATGACGAACTACTTCAGCTTCGACAGATACTCATAGGAAATTTCTATCCACCAAGACTTGTCGATAGGGACTTAACACCAGGACAACATCATGAATAAGCGTCTACAATTCGAAAGAAAACACTTTATTAAAATAACATTTAAATGAGATACGTTCGCCGAAATCAAACCTAGTAAGCTAAGCTTAGTATTGTCGAATAGGTCTACCATTCACGGATGTGTTAAGAATAAATTCCCGAATTGGGCCATATCGATGTACGTCTACAAAAGCACTTGATCATATGTGACTCCATAAACTGGAAGCATAAGTTACTCCTCTCCAAAAGCATATTAGAAAATAAACTGAGATAACATTTAACGCAAAATCAAAGTATCACCAGTTAAAAAAGAGGAGCACATAATCCATCATGAAAATGACGAAGGAAAAAGGTGTTCATACAAACAAAACATAAAAACAAAACAACAATATAGACGAGAAAACAAATGAAACAAAATAAGCAAACCAGTAGTGACGCCAAAAAAAGAATTAATACCGGAAATAATACTGAAGAACTGAGAATGAAATGGCGCCAAAAATGGTATAAAATATCAATCGTGATCAAATAATAAAAACAAATACATCGAAAATATAAACCACATACCCAAGATTAGGCAATCATCACAATATTAACAGAAAAATAATCTAAATAAACAAACAGAGATTGAAATAAATAGAGAGTCTTCACTCGACCTTTATGTCACCGATGAACGTGCACAGAAAGAGTACAGAATGAAGGAAGTGGCAGTGCTTAACCGGCTTGTTATATCGATTCAAACGGTCGACTGTCAACATTGAAAATGGAATATGTGTGCACGTGTGCGTGTGCGTGTGCGTGTGCGTGTGCATGTGCATGTTCATCTGCAACACACATAGGAATGTCGGAACAAGTCTGGAGAATTTGGAGATCATATGGGAAACCAATGGAGGAGCAGTGTGTGAATGGTATAGAAAGGCGATATTCCATCGTCTTCTCCACATTGTCCACCTCATCACTGTCTTACTTCCACACCTTCTCCCATAATGTTCGCACTCATGATTGGCGTGTTCTGGGACGAGTCACCTGTTCATGTCGAAGGTAGTAGAGGAATGAAGCAGAGAGAGTGGAATGGACACGAATTGTTAGCGTGAATCATCTACGCCTCGTATATGGATGTGTGAGGGTGTTGACGTGTGTATCAGAGAGCGATGATGTCGATGAAAACGACGGGATTGGGAAGGTGGTCCTTTCGGCCTACCGATTAGGTAGACCACCTAACGAATTAGGTATAGGACAATTTCAATTGCTCTTCACGAAGTAACCACCTCCATTGCCCGACGAACAACTACTGTGAATTCTCAGTCATCAACTTCGCATCATACAAGTGTGAACCAATCAACACACAATATGCACATCATTGGTCATTCAATATTGCAATGATCATGTGTGCGACAATCCAAACGTTGTTCAGTCAGTCAGTCATTGATACAGTTGTTGAAATGCAAACCGACTCTCTCTACCACTTACCCTGTGTATAGTCAGCAGTGTGTGACACATCATAACGACACTGGCATTTCACTGGAATATGGGTGTTAACTATCAATAAGACGAAGGTGAGAAGATATGACAAAAAATTGAAAATTTGACCATCCGATTTGTCCTACTCATCAGTAGTATGGTGTGACATGTGAAAGAAAAAACCACCACCAAACTGACCGACTGCCTGACCTAACAGTTCACATGGCAGCTGACATTGAGTAACCCGGTTATAACAACAATTACACTTCTCAACATCACAACATCTCACCCATTCCCACTCTCTTATCACCAGAACAACAGAACATCAATATCGATCCAGTCCGTAGACTCCAAATCCATCATCTACAGTTAATCGAACTGATATTTCAAAGATATTTGACAATGTTTATTGAGCTATCCCACTAACGAAACCAAGATGTGCATGTCCTGTGCTCAGTCAATACCATCTCGATTTCGATGGAGTAAACGGAGTATCACTGCTCTCCAGTGTTTCACTCCGTTGTGTAATCTTAGAGGTATATTCACACCAATTTGTGTATTCCCACTACAATCGATCGACTGTGTGTCACGGAGTATGACAATTAGGCGACTGTGTTCTTTTTCATTCTTTCGTCTCACACATCATCTTCAACACAGATCCAATGCTAGTCGACTGTTTTGCACCCATCACCAACACTGAACTGTTCGTCAATTAATCAGACAAAACCACACACACACACACACGCACACACACACACACAGAGAGAGAGAGAGAGAGTATGATCCTGCGTATTGTGTCCCTCATGTAACTACAACTCACGCACTCATTTGTAAATTACCAATGTTGGTGGTGAGTCTACTCGAGCTGAAAAGGATTGGTGTAGCCTCGTAGCTTACATCGAAGTCACACCTCACGATAAGTACATAACTTGGCTTAGACTATCGTGATAACCAGGCAATGCGGCTCCCTTAATGACTGTCTAGAAAGAATGGAATCTTGCCGAAAAGCATAGTTTATCGGAGAGAACAGACTACAGAGGTACAGAGTAATGACGCTGCCACATGAACTAGTCTGTGTTATCCGACTGATTCATCCGCATCAGTCATACTCGACCTTGATGATGTTGAGCGAATTGTTCAACGTTCAGTGATCTGCCGTTGAACGTAAAACACGGTTCGACTCGATGGAGGATTTGTCTAGAACTCAACGGCACTCCACTGGCCCTACACATTGAAGCATATAATGGATTCGTGTCTCTCCACATTTCCATCCACAAAGCCAATGGACTGAACACTCTTCAATAACTGTTCCCCAAGTGTTTCCGTGTTAACCGTAACATTTTGTCAATTGTCGGTTAAAGAAATTCTTTCAGATTCCATATGCAACCATTAATTTGATCTGTTTTACTTCTGTGTTGAGAATACCACAAAGAATTCCCACTGGCCACCAATCACTGGGATAAAGAAATC